CACTGGGTGTTGTGCACGAACAATGAATCATGGAACACTTCATCTAGAACTAATGATGTAATGTATGGGGATTAACATAAGAATAAAAAAAAAAAAAGCTGGAAAAAAAAAAAAAAGAACATCGTCAAAAGAATTCAAAGATCCAAATAAATGAAAAGACATCCCAAGTTCATGGATTGGAAAACGTAATATTGTTAAGACGGCAATTCTCCCCAAATTTTTCTACAGATTTAATACAATCCTTATAATATCCCAGATTTTTTTTTAAGAAATTGATAGTTCACATGGAAATGTACAAGACCCAGGATAGCTAAAATAAGTTAGAGGACTCACAGTTCCCAATTTCAAAACTTATTACACAGCAACTGCAATCAATATGGTATGATAATGGCATAATGGTAGATATATAGACCAAAAGAACAGAATTGAAAGTCCAAAAATAAACCCTTATTGTATGGTCAATTGATTTTCAATAGGATGCCACGACAAGTTGATGGGGGGGGCGGGGAAATAGTCTGTTCAATAAATGATCCTAGGACAACTAATAAACATTATGCAAAAGAATTAAGTTGAAGCCCGACCCCACATCATTCACAAAAATTAATTCAAAATGGATCATAGACCTGATTATAAGAATTAACACTATAAAACTCTTAGAATAAAACATAGGGATAAATCTTTATGACCTCACATTCAGCAATGGTTTCTTATATATGACACCAAAAGCCCAAGCAACTACAATAACAAAAAACGATAAAGTGGACTTCATGAAAATTAAAAACTTTTATACTTTAAAGGACCCCAATAAGAAAGTGACAAGACAAACCACAGAGTGGGAGAAAATATTTGCAAATATATCTGATCAGGGACTTGTATCAAAAATATATAAAGAACTCTTACAACTCACCAATTAAATTACAACCTGATTAAAAACTGGGCAAAATACTTGAATAGACACTTCTCTAAAGATAATGATGATGATGAAACATCAATATCATTAGTCATTAGAAAAGTGACTAATTTCATGCGAATCAAAGTCACAGTGAGATACCATTTCACACCCACTGGAATGGCTATATTCGAACACATAGTCAATAACAAGTATCATCAAAGACATGGAGAAATTGTGATCTTCATATATTGATGATAGGAATGTAAAATGATGCACCTGCCTTCTAAAACAGTCTGGTAGATCCTCAAATGGTAAAACAGAGTTACTACATGATCCAGCAATGCCATTCTTAGGTATATAGCCAAGAAAATGAAAACACATGTCCACACAAAAACTTGCACAATGAATGTTCACTGAAGCATTATTTATTTATTTATTTATTTATTTATTAAGATTTTATTTATTTATTCATGAGAGACAGAGAGAGAGACAGAGGCAGAGGGAGAAGCAGGCTCCCCGCGGAGCAGGGAGCCCGATGCGGGACTCGATCCCAGGACCCTGGGATCATGACCTGAGCCGAAGGCAGACGCTCAACCGACTGAGCCACCCAGGCGTCCCTGAAGCATTATTTATAATAGCAAAAAAAAGTGCAAAGAACCCAAAGTTCATCAACTGATGAATAGATAAATAAAACATGGTACAGTCATTTAACAGAATATTATTTGGCAATGAAGTGAAGTGAAGCACTGATACAAGCTACAACATATATAAACCTTGAAAACATTATGCTAATTGAAGGGAGCCAGTCACAAGAAATCACACATTATATGAAATGTCCAGAATGGACAAATCCATAGAGACAGAAAGTACATTAGTGGTTGCCGGCGCTGGAGAAGACGGGGAGATTGAGGAGTACGGCTAAGCAGTCTGGGGTTTTTTTTTCCAGGTAATGAAAATATTCTGAAATTGATTGTGATGATGGATATACAACTCTGTGAATATACTAAAAGTTATTGAATTATATACTTTGAATGGGTGAATTGTATGGCATCTGAATTATATCTCAGTAGACCTGTTTAAAGAAGAACACCATTGTGCCTTTTAACAACGAAAAGAACTGAATACTAGGATGGTGTATTATGAGATTGGTCTAAGGAAAAAAAATTGCTCCAGTGCAGTGTTGTTGAAAAAACATTGGACTTAGCAGTCAGTTGTGGGACTAAATGCCACCCTGTACAGTTGATTGTTATGACTCAGAATGAAATGATATATGCAGAGCCTCTACTGTAATTCCTAGTACAAGGAAGGAAGGAAGGAAGGAATTGTTTCAATTGGAATGGTGAAGTCAAAAGCCCAGAACAGACATTGAAAGGATGTAGAGTAATACTGTTAATAGCTTGATCTGGAATAAGTAGTCTAATATGACAAAACAATGTGTATGTGTGTGTGTGTGTGTGTGTGTTATGAAACTTTGTGGGTAACTAAAATAGCTGAAACCTAGCTAAAGTTCACTTCTTTTCAGTAGTAGTAATATAGAAAAAAGAATTTGAATAATCCTTTACACATTATTGTCAGGGAAATTAGCTGAGTGATGACAAAAGAAACTTCATTTTAGGTTTTCAGACCCAAGTGCTAATTTCAGCTGTTTTCCTGAAGATAAAATTGTACACTACTTTCAAAATTTAAATAAAGCATACATTTCTCTTTAAAGTAGCACTACAAAAAAATAAAAATGCAGAGAAAGGAAGTAGTTAATTCAGGTCTCCAAAAACTCTTTTCTGAGTCTTCTGAAGGCAATCAAAAGATAATAAAACGAAATCTTTGTGAAAATGGAAAATAAAAATCTGGGGGCTTAAAAGAAAGTTCCCAGAAACGAAATTGGCAACTTGAAGGAGATGCGGTATACGGAATGCAATATCATTTCCTCTGTCATTTTTCAATGCAAGTACTAAGATAAGAAGTTTGTACGCCAATGGTGAATTAATCCAGTTTTTTACCTGCCATTCTGAGCCACATGAAATAAGCACAAACTGGAGAAAGGAAAATGACATAGGATTCGATAAAACATTCAATTTAAAAGTAGGCGCAGTGTACAAAATCTGATGAGAAATAATTAAAATTAAGAGTTGAAGAAACGAAGTTGAAATAAAACTATGCAGTCTTAGGTACGGTTCTTATTTTGAATTAATTCACTGGCATTCTGTTTTCCAAAAGTTCTTTTTCACTTCACTGAAGATAATGCTGTGATCAATTATTAAATGGTGATAAGAAACACTCTACCTTTGAGATCTTCCACTGTTTCCTGTGCCGGCAACTCCTAAACAAATGGAAGAACAAAAATCAATATGTGACTCAGCTCAGTGCCCATTTCCAGGCAGTCAGCAGGCGCGGAGTGGCAAGCTACTCGTTTTCCCAATGGCACGTGGGGAAGAGACTATACAGTGTCCACTCTGCGTAAGCCTCTAATAAAATGGATAGCAAAAACGAATACAGAATATAGGTAAGTGCAGATAACCAAGCAAGGCCACTGTACTGTGATAAAAGGCGTTTGATAATTAAGAAAGTAAAAAGGAGAGAGAAGAATGTGCTACCGTGCATGACCGCGAATAAAGCGAGTAAGGTTCATCTAGAGCAAAGGGGTTTATTGACTTCCCAAGGGACAGCTGTGATTTAATGTGGAGTGGTGCAGTTGATTCCAGGGGAAGACAATGAATGCCAGGAGAGGGGAGAAGGAGGTCAAGGTCTACTGATAGGTTCTTCGGGCCAGGGCGGCAGTCCCGGCAGGGGTCGGCCGAGGCGGTGTGTCCAGCACCTGACTGGGTGTTTATCTCATGGTCCAAGGGCTCCCCTGAGGTCCCTTCCACACTCTGAGATGTGGCACACCACCAGCAACAGAATGCTACCCTTGCACGCTCCCATTTTAGGCATGATCAACACTACGCGACAAGAACAGCATGAAACAGAAAAACCCACACTGACCAGGGGCCCAGATGAGTGATGAGAGTTTATGCTTTGCCCTCGGGAGCTGCAGCGGAGGGGAGGCGTGGAGAGGCTTCGATGAGGCTCTTCCTTTTTGCCATTGTTAATCTGCCTGTTATTGCTAATGCACAGAAGAAACACAAGAGCGGTGATATTATCAAATAGAACTATGACTTTGTATTAGTCCTTAACCAACTCCTTTTCCTAGAATCTGTTTTGTAATATTCATGGTACACAAATTTTGTATTTAAGGGAGAATAATAAATATTCTTTTAAAATAAGACATGCTTTCTAAAGGAACTATCAGAAATAAAGACAAGAATAGTGACAGTGACACTCACGAATCACTTTTAATTTTTCAGTCTGTGCAATGTATTACATCTATATTAACAAACACAAATGTTCTTTCTGAAAATACTCTGGCATGCACTAAGCACGTAGATGACAAGATAAAAACACTGAAGTCAAATATTTGGCTGTGTTAAGCCTAATGCAAATGAATTCCAGAGCACAATATAAGGTCAAATGAATAGTTAAACCATCTTGATTATCAGTATCAATTTTATGCTTAAGTGTATGCTTCAAGAGAAGAAAAATGTACATATTAGTGTCTGCCTATACTGGTGTGTTTTCGTAAACAACTAATAAATGAAAAAAAAATTTAACCAAAACTAAAACATTTAAATTATGAACTGACACATTAATAGAAATGTTACCTTGGAATTTTGTGATTAGTTATATGTTCCTTGTTGGCCTCTTTGTCTTTATTTGGCTTTTCTTTCTTTCCAGAGGGCCTCTGCTGAATTAATTCTCCTTTATCAAACATGAGGTGTAGGCGATAACTGACCAATTTGATTATTGTGAAGAATATAGTCACTGAACTGCAGTAAAAAAATGCAGTGATAGCATTTGGAGGAAAAGCCTAAAGAAGAGAAAAGAAAGAAAAAATTCATTCGTTTGCAGGATGATCTTTTGTTTTAAATCTGAAAGCATTGTTGGACTATTTATTGAATACAAATTGGGCAAGAGTTCAAATTTTATTGGCTTTACAACTTTTCCTGGTTGCAATACCCGAGGAGAAAGAAAGAGCTGCTATCTTTTTTTTCTTTTTAAAAACATCTTTCTTGTTTCTCAGGTTCTGGTACTAGTCGAGTTGATGACCAACATTTCATTTGCAGGCAGGAACCCCACAGAACAAAAGGTGTTTTATATTCAGCCTCTCCATGTCCTTCTGGTTCTTTTCCAGAACCTAATCTGGCCTTCCTGCACGCATGCTTGTAGCAAAGCCTGAAGAAAGGCCTTTGAGATGCTGTTTCCTTCAACAAAGCACAAAAAGCCTTGTTGAGAACAGAAGAAAGAAGGAAGGGAAAAGGTTAATGTAACATCTCCTCCCTCCCTCCTTCCTTCCTTCCTTTCTTCCTTTCTTCTTCCTTCCTTCCTTCCTTCTGTGCTCTCCTGTTGGGTTAACACCATCAGGACATGTATTTCCCTAGTGGTTTGATGCAGGCAAGGGGCCACAAAAGGGCACATTGATTCTAAAAGGAAGATAGTTACATTAGTGTAAAAGGATCTGACCATGGAGATCATGGTGAAGGTCAGTTCAATTCTGTCCAATCCCCTCAAGAAACAAAAAGAATCACTAGCATCCATGAAACTGTCCTACTCTGTAGGATCCCCCACATACCTTCCTAGTTCTCTCCCAGGACCATGGACGATTGCAGGTTCTCTAGTCCTTCCTAAACTAAATTCTTATCTTTGGAGATTGAAATAGATCCCAGGGTCTCAAGATAATATGAAGGACAGCCTCAATAAAAAGCAAGACCCTTTTATCAATGCATCTCACTAAAGGATCTCAAGAAATCCAGTGATAAGTGCATTCTCTCCTTCAACCTGAACCTGCTGGGCCTGTGAACAACATAGCCCAGACCAAGTCTGCTCCCATGCAGCCCCTGCACAACCCACCATGGTCCCATGATAATCTATCATCTAGGTAAGACCACTCCAAAAACAACATGGCCAAACAAAAAGAATAAAGGAAAAGGAAAACTGTCACCAACAAGTAAAAGCTGGAGTGAAGAATTTTCACCATCACTGACTTGCTTTGACTTCATGGGAAAAAGGTCCACTAATAAATATAAATTAATAAATAAGTGAATGAAAGATTGATTAAATAAAACAAATAGATGATAGATGATAGATAGATAGATAGATAGATAGATAGATAGATAGATAGATAATGAGAGAGAGAGAGAAATAAAGTCAGGTTCCCTACCTGGAAGCAGATCAGTTTCCCATTGACACACATACCTCCTGAGGAGAAGCTGTGATGAACTTCAAGCAATACAGAGAGGAATTAAAAGAGAAAGAGTGATGGGGCCACTAATAGTCCCCAACACTTTTTCTTAACATGTCTATATATTTTGGGTCTAAAAATTTCAGGCTAAAGCTAGAGAGTGAGTTTGAAGAAACAGATAAAGGAAGAATAAAACCCAGCAAATGTCCAGAGAATAGATTAGCATCCTATCATACACAAATTATATTCAAAAGTTGTTTAGATTATAAAAGTTGTTTAAATTATAATGTAACTTGGGATTCATAGTACTCTGATTAGCAGGGGCCACAGAGAGAATTCGTACTCACTAAATATTCCATGTGGCCCCATGCATTTCCCAGCTTCCCTTGCAGTCCGGCTGGGGTCATGTGACTACTTTTGGCCAGTGGACTATGAGGAGAAGTGGCTGGTGTCACTTCTAAGCCTAGACAATTATGAGCTAGGTGCCTCCTCCATCTCACTCTTCTCTTTAGTTGGCAATATCAGAGGCTGTATTTTTAAGATATTCTATCTGCAAGAGGACAGAGCTTCCTTCAGCCTGGGTACCTGGGTGACACTGGAACAAGGCCCTTACAGATCTGAGACAGACATGTCCTAGAAGTGAGAAATAATCCTTCGATTCATTAAACCTCTGAGATTTGGGGGTTGCCTGCTGTGGCAGCTAGCACTGATTCACGCAATACTGGGGGGTTCCATTTCCATGAGGAAGCTTCCATTCAAATTATATTAGAAATAAATGGGGGAAAAACCCTCAGTTATTGGGAAGAGAATGCTAGGGAAGGTGAGAGAGGAAAGATTAAATATGGATATTGGGATAATTCATTTGGAAAGAAACTGACTTGCTACAATAAGAAGAGGTATTACTTTTCAGTTTACCCTCATAAATATGGAGGTAGCACCAGCCTGGTAGTGTTGAAATTAAGAGAAGGCAAGACAACATGGATGGAACTGGAGGGTGTTATGCTGAGTAAAATAATCAGAGAAAGACATGTATCATATGACCTCACTGATATGAGGAATTCTTACTCTCAGGAAACAAACTGAGGGTTGCTGGAGTGGGGGGTGGGGTGGGAGGGATGGGGTGGCTGGGTGATAGACACTGGGGAGGGTATGTGCTATGGTGAGTGCTGTGAATTGTGCAAGACTGTTGAATCACAGATCTGTACCTCTGAAACAAATAATGCAATATATGTTAAGAAAAAAAAAAGAAGATAGCAGGAGGGGAAGAATGAAGCGGGGGAAATCGGAGGGGGAGACGAACCATGAGAGACGATGGACTCTGAAAAAAAAAATGAGGGTTCTATAGGCGAGGAGGGTGAGAGGATGGGTTAGCCTGGTGATGGGTATTAAAGAGGGCACGTACTGCATGGAGCACTGGGTGTTATACGCAAACAATGAATCATGGAACACTACATCAAAAACTAGTGATGTAATGTATGGTGATTAACATAACATAATTTAAAAAAAAGGTAGATATAAATAAAATAAATTTAAAAACAAAAAAAGAGAAGGCAAGAAATTACAATGGGGTTTAGTATCTAGTTTGCAACCAGGTGAGAAAAGGCTCTTGTCTCCTTTATAAAGGACCACTGGCACTTTGTCACATCCCCAAAAGCCCATAGACCTCACCAGGCCATAGCAAAAGACAGCGATTTTACTGAAAATTTCCAGGGAGAGAGGAAGAAGTTTTACAACATGCTAGAGATGGCACATTATTCCTCCCAAAACTCCCTGATCTCCTTTAAAACCTCTCCCTTCAGAAGACCCTGCAAACAGAATCTAGAATCCTCCCAAATATCCCCTTTTTAATGTTATGTACTTAAGCTCTGCTCAGGCTTCTCCAATTGTACATTTCCAGGGACATCACTGAAAATTACTTTCAAGGTCATTTTACTGCTGACATCATCATGCTCAGTCAACAAACGATCCCCAGCTCCTAGGATTTTCTGTCCTTGTAAGTATGAATGCAAGGAGAGGAGGAGGATTTAGGAAGAAATATGTCAGGAATGAGCAGCTTTTAGCTCTCTTTTAATTTATATCACAGATTCCACACACACCCCCATATTAGGTATATTCAGATTTTGAATAGAGGTTTCAGGGAAATCACAATTTTTTTGTTTCCATGAACTTATCATTTTAACACATTCTAATTAATAATAGGAGGCAATATTTTTTCAAAATTATATCCTTGGCCAAAGAAAAGCTGTATATTGTTCCCTGACACATTATTAAGATAACTAGTGGTATAATAACTCATTTTACCAAACTTTTTCTGACAAAATTTCATGAAAAAAACAACATGCTGTTACCAATTAAGCAATTACAAATATATCTGCACGGTTCAGAAAACTGGATTTCTTGGGATTTGGCGCCATCTAGAAGAATCTGTCTGCCTGAACACCCAGGCCATCTGCAGTCCCCTCAGATGGAACCCACCTCTGTTCCTTGAGGTTCATAGCTCAGGCTCTCTCATAGAGTGTACCCACTCTTTTTTAAAAAAATTTTATTGTGGTAAAATATATATAACATGAAACTTACCACCGTAACTTTTTTTAAGAGTACTGTTCAGTGGCATTTAGTACATTCACATTGTTGTGCAACCATCAGCACCATCCATCTATGGAACTTCTTCGTCTTTCCAAACTGAAAGTTTATACCCATTAAATAGTAACCCCCATTTCCTCCTCCCCCAGCCACTGGCAACCAACATTCTATTTTCTGTCTCTATGAATTTGACTCTTCTAGGTACCTCATATCATTGGAATCACACAGTATTTGTCCTTTTGTGACTGACTGGACTATTTCCCTTAGCATAATGTTCTCAGGGTCCAGCCGTATTGTAGCATGGGTCAGAATTTCTCTCCTTTATAAGGCTGAATAATATTGCATTCATTCATTACACATTTTGCTTATCCATTCATCTGTTGATGGACATTTGGATTATTTCCACCCTTCATTTATTGTGAATAGTGCTACTATGAACATGAGTGTGCAAATACCTCTGCAAGACCCAGCTTTAAATCCATTTGGATATATATCCAGAACTGGAATTGCTGGATTAAACAGCAATTCTATGTTTAATTTTTTGAGGAACCTCCGTGCCGTTTTCCATAGTAGCTGTGCCATTTTACACCACTCTGGTTTTTCACTTCAGGTTAATGGGTTATTACTGTCCATCTCTTGAGTAGCCTGGAGAGATCGATAATCTGGTTAAGTGAGTACTACCCATAAATAATGCTGGTATCCAGTGAGAATAAACCACTTCTGAGGGTTTCCGTGTGCAGACATAAAGAAGAGCCCTCTTGAGGATTCAAACTTTATCAGTGTGTATTTCATAAAGGTACCTCATCAATGTACTTTCACAAACTAATTTTGAAGAAGACTTCTGGAAATGCTTTTCTCATCTTAAAAAAAAAAAAAAAATGAGGAAGCTAAAGCATAAGTGAGTCATACTTCCAAGCTGGTAAGGACATGTATCTCCTCTCACCTGGAAGTTACTTACCTAGCCACTTCCATGACCTGACAGAGAACCAAGGACTCAGAAGAAAAAAAATGTTAAATGTCTTCTGGGCAGTCAAAACACATCACTG